TGACGGCAGGAAACGTGACGGGGGGCGACACAGACTACCTATGCTCACCTGTTGTAGTTACAGATGGTGACGGCAGGAAACGTGATCTCGTCTGCGAACTCCAGCGTCATGTCCGTGACGGGGGGCGACACAGACTACCCATGCTCACCTGTTGTAGTTACAGATGGTGACGGCAGGAAACGTGATCTCGTCTGCGAACTCCAGCGTCATGTCCGTGATGGTGTGGTATTTGAAGTAGTCCTGAAGCCTGGGGGAGATGGGGAAAGGCGACATGCTCATTATAATAACATAATGAGTCAGTTTCAAATTATGAAGAGTTGTACGTATTGGTTGAGACTGCAGTAAGCAATATATGTGAATGTCAGAGCAATTCAGGACCCGTCTAAATATAATTTCTGCACAAATTTAAATGTACTGAAAAAATTATTATTATGAGTTGTGTTAGGGATATTGACGATGACGACGTAATTTGAGGGGAACAACTGGGATTTCCATTGATAGACAAAATATACCCCAAATTATATTTTCCCATCACTGGACTTGCGGTTCAACGTTTGTAACTGACAGTGCGATCCAGAGCTCCCAACAGAGGCATCTGCAAAGCTCTATCATTCTAAAAGCTCAAAATATAGACATAGTAAAAAAGCTCAAAATTCAATACTTACATAGATATGAACATGTAGGCGAAGGCGCCGTTAGAAGCCAGGATGGCGAGAATCCACAGGTACCGCAGGAAACGGTAGGGAGCGACCATAGCCTGGGGACAGAACTAGCTGTTAGTATAGTGTATCTGGTGAATGATGTATTGCATTAATATCATCAGAATGATGCATAGTAGCTAATAAAATAGTCTTTAGTGCAAAATCATAATTGCTTTTACAGAGTCAAAGATACTATATGGTACAATACATAATAGGGAACAGACAGGAAATAAAAGAAAAAAAAATGATTGGAGTCTGTAAATCTTAAAACAAACAAACAAACAAACAAATATACAAACAAACAAACCCTGTTGAAGCCATGTAGGGAAGTGGAGGAGGCGAAGTCTTCCTCCAGGTCCACTTCCGTTGTCTCCTCTGTCGGCATGATGGCTCAACACCGGCTAGTCTGGAACGGTACAGACGGTAGACTTTACTCTCCAAGCAGAGGTTTGGGTTTTAAGGGTATTTTTAGCGTATTTTTAGCGTATTTTTAAGCTTTTTATCAGGGTTTATCTTTTGCACTGAATTTTTTTCCCACCAAACCCAAAAAATTGAGAAAATGGGGGAAGAAATTCAGTGCAAAAGAGAAACCCTGATAAAAAAGCCTAAAAATACCCCCAAAACCCAAACCTCTGCTTGGAGAGTAGGTAGAATTAAAACTATATAGGCACTGAAAAATGCGGCCCTTCGCCTTTGTCCCGGCGTTGTCCGAGCCGCGTCACCCGTGACCGGTGTTAGCGCGACGGCTTACCGGCCTCTTGACTCCCAAGGAAGTCGGGGCCACTTCACAGGCCAGTCCCTCAGTTAGTTTGTTAGATCCTGAGTGGCTCTAGGTTTAGGGGTGTCTACGGTAAAATTTGCATGGGGGCATGCTGGCCCTATAGCCGAGGAGCTAGCCTTATAGTTATACTGGCCTTGGTAACAGTCTGGCACCCAGACTGAAGAACGTAGATTTTAGTACTAAGGAGTAAGGACTAAAGCACGGTTCTGGATAGTCTTTGGGTATCTAAGAACGTAGATTTTACTAAGGTTCTAAAGCACGGTTCTGGATATACGAGTACTTTTGATTCGGGTCGGAGAAAACTGAACCGATTTGGAGCGTTTACACTCCATAAAATGATCCAGATCGATGCATTCTGATCCGAATTGACGCTCAATCCGGATCGTTCTTTTTTTTTGGGGGGGGGTATGTGAACGAGGTCGTTTCCAGTATGAACAGATTGCCTTCACGGTTCGGCCATGGGACGGGGTAGAAAGTTACGCGGCGAGCTGGCGGAGTTGCACGGTTCGCTGGCACGTCAAAGCCCGCCAGACTCTGGCAAACTGGAATCCCCATGGCCGGCCAATTCCCCTGGCCTGCTACATTCATAGTTTGGTTTCACGCTGTCGTCATGGGACGCAGGGTAGAAGTTACGCGGCGAGCTGCCGCAGATCCACGGTTCGCTTGCCCGACAAAGCCCACCGCTTACGCCGGCTGACACGGCAACTCCCGATCGAGCACAACCAAAATAAGCGCAACCGGACCTCGGTCCGATTCGAACCAGAAGAAAGCGACTTGTTTAATTGCAATGAGAAGAAAAATCATTTCTAGCGGTACATACAAATTCACACCACCGGGAAAATTCCTCTGCTCTTAGAAACAAGTAACCGGTTCGCTTGTAAAACAAAGACGCTGCTTACATGCTAAATGACATGCTCGTTTTCAAAAAGGCAGTTGCCAGTGAGACTGGAATTCGTAGGAAGCTGTAACTGTCTTTCTGTCCGGACGACTTTACCTTTGGTACACCTCTCAACACCCAACAGAGGTAGGTACTTAGAAAACACTTTTTTTCTCAACAAATCGGCTTTTGAAATAGGAAAAAAGTTTTGTGACCCATCTATATCGTATCCAGAACTGTGCCTATCTAGCTCTAGTTCTGGATAGTCTCTATATCGTATCCAGAACCTATCTAGTTCTGTGCCTGAATGGGTTAGGGTTAGGATCAGGCACGGTTCTGGATAGTCTCTATCGTATCCAGAACTGTGCCTATCTAGTTCTATGCCTGAATGGGTTAGAGTTAGGATCAGGCACGGTTCTGGATAGTCTCTATCGTATCCAGAACCGTGCCTGTCTAGTTCTATGCCAGAATGGGTTAGGGTTAGGATCAGGCACGGTTCTGGACAGTCTCCGCGTATTCAAGAACGTAGATTTGTCACAGGCACGGTTCTGGATACGTGTGAACTATCCAGAACCGTGCCTGAACATGATTCTGGATAAAACACGGTTCTGGATACAAGAAGAACTCACCTCAGAAATGCAGAACTGCCGCAACTCTAACTGCCTGTCTGCCTGAAGGACTTTTTCACGGCTATTAGTCAGGCACTTTTCTGCATCCAGGACCGGTAAGGACTGTGCAAACAAACGTTTTTTTTCTCTTGCGAACCTCGCCTCGGCGTTTGAAATGTAAGACAAAAGTGTGGAACCGAGACATAACTATAACGGAGAAACTACACGGTAGTTACAACGATACTTGTACGTGACGCATGTTGTAGGTGATATACGTAATTAATCCCGCAATTAATCAATATCAATTAGCCATTAATCAAATACGATTTGTGGGGTCGTGTGGCGTAGCGGCAAAGTGCTCGACTTGGAACCAAGAGGTCCCGGGTTCGAGTCCTGATATGCCACCGATCTTGTGCCCTTGGGAAAGGCACTTTACACGACTTTCCCCACTAGACTCAAGTAAAAATGAGTATTGTCTGTCCAGTATTTGTTTCTATGTGCGGGACACAACACCAGCAACAGCTGCCTCTGTTCCGCGTGCATTGCACTGTTGCACTTTCAATAAATCAAATCCGTCAAACCCACTGTGAGTTAATAGCTGCAAACACACGAACATACTGATACATACCGAAAATAGTACCTTTTTGTGGAAGGGTATCTCCGTTCCTTAAGGTAATATCAGTAAGTGAAGAATGCGGTAGCTGTGTTTACGGGACGCGAAGCCTCTTATCCTCTACCCGTCCCACACAATACTGCGCCGCAGATGACCCCATTTTTAGCCCCGCCAAATTTCTCCCATTATACCCAACATAAAGGGAAACTCGGACGCACAAACAGCTGAGGATTATCCACATTCGGTTTCTCGGTCTTATGAAACGAGAAATGCTTTTAAGAAAATAACTTCCCGCGTGAGAATGGCTGAGAGAAAGGTGAACATGGCGTGATAGCATGGATCTTCTTGAGCCAATGGGAAAGGGTAAAATCCCAGTTGTTGTATCCAGAACCGAACTTTATCGTATCCAGAATCATGTTCAGGCACGGTTCTGGATAGTCCACACTTATCCAGAACTGTATCTAGGGCAAATCTACATTCTTGGATACGCGAAGACTATCCAGAACCGTGCCTGATCCTAACCCTAACCCTAACTTAACCCAAATTCAAGCATAGAATTAACCCCGTCCGCATAAATCGAATGATAACAGAGAAGTAAAGTCATCTATTTTTATAGAGATTTAGAAAAGATTTATCCAACAAAGGGGGCAATCAAGAAGCTTACCGTAGCGGTTCCGTCGATACAAAAACCACCACCATACTATTTCGTAAGTTTAAGGAGGGAAAAATATCGGATAAAAGATATCATAATAATCTTTCTTTTTCTTTGTTAAATGCCCATAGCGAGCCCTCGGGCAAGAGCTTAGAATGAAACAAAATAAACAAACTATTAAGCGAGTGTTCACTTCATACAAAGCCACCGTTCAGTAAGTCGAAGGTTTCTTTTTTTTTCGTTCGGTTGACGAAAGAGAGAGAGACTAATTTGATTTTCCCAGGTTTGCCAAAGTCTATTGTTGCTAGGGACTGACCCGGCTAATAGCGTTACGTCTCTCCACAATGCTTTGTACCTACCTGTAGTCTTTTCGCTCAACCGGAATATCCACCACATAAAACACACAACACACTAACTTTACAGACACGCAAATGTGGCTGGGTGTAAAAGTGGCCGAACACTGAAAACTGTGCACATTTAACTGGACGTATACTGTTGAAGACAGTATAAAATAAAACAAAACAATACTTCGATGGTAAAATCATGCCTAGGAATTCTATACCTCAGAAAGTTGAAACATACATGTGGAATGAAGTAATTGACTTACTGAATAAAATTATGCAGCCATTTGTATTCCTCGTAAGTTTAGGTGTCAGCCAAATCAAGAAATAAATTCACAGAACAGCTATCTAATGCCCCCCCCCCTCACATTCGGCCTCCCTTGCAACTATCAATATACATTTATGTATCTTAACAGCAGTCTGTCCAAAAATGCACACCCCACAATTTTCTGGTATCCGCGTCAAGAAACGTGACTTACCCTTGACACCTGTTACTGCTACAGACGACTTGTAGTGAAGAAGGTTCCTTGAGTCGTTAAGGACCACAGCTTTACGTCTCAAACCACGACTTCAAGTGACGTCATGTACCTTAAGACGTCTTACCTGTCCACCTGTATGCACTACACCTGTTTCATGCTTACGCTCCCGTCGTGCATTGCGCAGGCGTGTGAAAGTCCGAGCCTTGCTACACATCGCTACATGTGGATACAACTCGCTACATGTCGCCACACATGTGGCAGTTCATAGTCGTGATTCATTTCGCGCCACGGCGTGGAATACGTGTTCTGTAACATGATGCCACCCGTCATGTCTGATTTGTAGCGAAGCATTTGTTACGTAACGTTTCTTAAAGCTTGTGCGGAGCGAAAAGGATGAAGCAATCTCCAAGCAGAGGTTTGGGTTTGGCCTGTATAGCTAGACTAGGCTATAGGGATTTTTCTTCTTACACAACCCAACAGCAGGTGACCTACATGTACATTACAGGTTCTGTCAGAATAAAAATCCATACATGTATATCCAAACCTCTCCCTTACAATTGCAAGGTAAAGAAATCAATACTTACGGAAAGCTACCGTCCAAGACAAGTGTCCACTTTTTCTTGTCGGCCAGACCGCGCCCGCCTTGTCCAGGGTAAATTTGCCGTCTTCGCCGTCTTAGAAAGCACTCCTTTAAGAAACAAACTCCCACCTGTTGAATTGCACGCCTGGGCGACGTCACAAGTTAGCCTCTACCAGGCTTCGGGAGGCGGCTGGAAGGAATAGAAACTGGCTAAATAGAGAGATAACATGCCAGGGGAGTTGGTCCGCCAGAGAATACAGTTTGCCGCGCCCTGTAGCCTCCAGCAGACCAACTCCCCTGGGATGTTATCTCTCTATTTGGCCAGTATCTACTCTTCCCGACCGCCTCCCGAAGCCTGGTAGAGGCTAGACAGAAGCCATGCTGATCCTCCCTGGTCTCTTGTTCTCCACCGAGCCCAGACGATATTCATTACGTTTCCTTTGTTATAATTAGTTTGTGGTGTAAATATTGGACCGATTCGACCGACCGGTTGCATCGGAACGGGCCAATTTGAAATAATACACTGGTTTTTCGTTGACATAAAATTCCTTAGCTTGAAGTTGGCATTGAAACTGAGCATGGATTAAGGGAAGTTGCGTATCGTGGTACACACAGTTTCAGGGACTGAATATAAAAAAAAAACACATAATTAAAACGTGGGACTGTTCATCAGCAAATTAGCACCAAGACATGTACGTAGAAATATCAGATATATCTATTGGTGCTGTTTACCTCTTTACATACTATGTGAAACCTTGAAATCAGCCTTTTGCGACATTATTATCATAGTAGAATTGTTGATAAAGTTTGAAGTCAGATTCAAGTTTTCCTATCGGCACTATGTTTTAACCTGTTCCTCTCGCTTCATTTTTACGTAGAAACGTCTGAGAACCGAGGAACTGACTTGTTATGGCCTGTGTCCATACAACTATTGGCAACCCCTGACATATTTACTGTAACCATTAGTCGGTGTTGGCCGTAGAACAACATCACTGCGACTCAAACACTTGTTAGCCTCAGCTCCAGCCTTCTTGGGACATTTTAAGTGTTGTCGCTTTTGCTACTTTTTGTGATAGCTACTTCGCTTATACGACTGGTGAATGTTGCTGAATATCTATTTTATCGGTTTAGCTGTTCACCCCTCACAGCCAGGGCAGCCCAACTAACCAGTGGCTATTACAAGAGGCTGCCCTGCTGACAAGACATGACAAAACATTACGGCAACATATAAGGTGGCTTAACAATCTACAAAACTATCACATTTTTCTATGCAAATAAAAACGTTTTAACAAAGGAACTTAACCATGTTTAGATCGAATGAGTTAGACAGACATACTCAGACACCAATCAGAATGTAAAATAAATAAGTAAAAAAAAACACAACATTGAAAAATCATCCTAAAGAGCCTGTCTCGGAGACTAGACCTTGTAGCAACCATGAGTGGAGTTATCTAAAGCTGACCACATGCAGATCATCAAGGTCACCAAGGAACATGACTCTTCGTCTTAACAGGTGTTTCTACGTCTTTACGATTGAGACCATAGGTAGGTCGGGTCTTACTTAAGACGCCAGTTATACTTAATGTGATTTCAGAGCAGCAAAACTGGAAATATTTTGAATAAGGCAATCTTTGTGATATTGACACGTACTGCTTCACATTAGCACATTTCAATCAGTATTTCATACATTGGCCTTTTAAAACTACAGAAACAAGCCCGAAGATTAGTCCTTTATTTTATGAGAGGTACCCTAAAATCAGCCCAGGGCCCTTCCAGTAACCATTTTCCGTCAAAATTTTGGGAATGTTTGCTCCATGAGGGTCAATATACACTGGGATAGTGTGGTTTCAACTCAGTATGTAGATAAGCGACTAGAATACTGGCTTTGAAAAATTGGGTTTTCAAGCCCTAAACAAAACTACATTGGATGCCTTTATTTAAAGTTTTGCGTTGTCGACTTAAGTGTTACAAATACGCTAAAATGGGTCACCTGAGTGTCGGCAACCATCTTGCCTGTTTGTAAAGGTTTTGTTTAGTGTTTGTTCATGTAACGTATCGCACCTGAAGCCGGCGATACAACAAAGTTTGTTGTTAGAAGTTTTTGTATCGAGTTAGAAGATGATCCACACAAGAACAAACAAACTTGGGTATCGTATCAATAATGGGGGGATGTAAGGAATCCAGAACAGAACCGTACTCAGGCACGGCTCTGGATAGTCCTTGCGTATCCAGAACCGTGTCTGGGGCAAATATACATGATTGAATACGCAGAGACTATCCAGAACCATGCCCGCGCGCACTAGTTTGTGGGTCTTGAGAGGATGTCATCCATACAATTGAGTCGGTGTGGCCTAAATACAAACCACGTAAGACCGGACTGTAAGGTCATTGACCTTGATAAATAATATTCTGGGCATGACTTGCAAAATCTTAAACCATAGCTTTTTGTTTGTTTGTTTGTTTACTTAGTCTAGATGTATACAGGTAGGATAAGATTTCATCTCACACAATGCGCTACTATGTCTCTTACACCTCATTCCAATAAAGGCTTAGTCTCTACCAGACTAACTACGCTGGCTATATATAGGGGAGTTTGGCCGCCTTGTAGGTTTGACTGGGCCGTGCTTCGGAGGGAAAGAAACTACCTCCCCGCGGCCGGACTCCCTTGGCCAATTTTACTCTCTTTTTTTGCCGAATTCTACGATCCGTATTCTCCTATATATATATAGCCCGCGTAGTTTGTCTGGTAGAGACTACGCCGCTTATGTAAGGGTTCCTAAACGTTTTGTGGGGTTTCTGTTGTTCTATGCGGTGTTTGTATACGCCCCAAGGCCACACGATACACACACGAACAAAGCAGGACCGTTTACAAACAAACGAACATGTCTGGTGTGACATCTCCGGAGTTTTAAGTTCGCTAAGTCTGTAGAGGCTCTTCTATCCAGCTGCTATCTCTTACAAGTATCTTATGATCGCCCTTTTAAGGACCTTTCAGCTCCCAGCTCGGCCACACAAAACGCGGCATAAATACGATCACCCGTAGTTGTATGGTACAGTCACGGTTTGATGGTTTTTTCTTCGCAGGTGTCCAAACGCCTTGAAGAAACTGCGACGGGCGTCAAGACATCTTGAAGTTGACGACAAGACGTTTGTTGGGTGCGAAGAAATAACCAAGATCTGATTTGTCAACGATAAGGAACGGAAAAAGGTACTTTTGAGTCACTTTTTCTTCATGCTTGGTTTTATGCCAGCTTTTGTGCGCTGAAGAAGAAGACTTTTTCTCTCCTCGAGCTCACTCAAAAAAAAAAAAAACAACTAGCCAAAGTTTGTGACATAGGCTTAAGCCTCCCCAGGCCTTTCTACGGGAATACGGATAGTAGAATTCGGCAAAAAAGAGAGAGTAGAATTGGCCAAGGGAGTCCGGCCGCGGGGAGGTAGTTTCGTTCCCTCCGAAAGCCAGTCAAACCTACAAGGCGGCCAAACTCCCCTGGCAAATAATATTCTCCTATATATGGCAAGCGGAGCTAGTCTGGTAGAGACTACCTATGTAAGTTGTGTTGCTATTCCGTGTTACAAACATGCTGAATTGATGACATAAATAAGACCTTACAAGATGATGTGTTTACCACTTCGAGTGTATAGTGAGCAGTACATCGTATCCAGAACTCCGTCTATCTAGTTCTATGCCTGAATGGGTTAGAGTTAGGATCAGGCACGGTTCTGGATAGTCTCTATTGTATCCAGAACTGTGCCTATCTAGTTCTATGCCTGAATGGGTTAGAGTTAGGATCAGGCACGGTTCTGGATAGTCTCTATTGTATCCAGAACTGTGCCTATCTAGTTCTATGCCTGAATGGGCTAGGGTTAGGATCAGGCACGGTTCTATCATAGAGACTATCTAGAACCAAGGACATTGGAACTAGAACCGGGCCTATTAAGGTCGATGTCTGAATGGATCAGGTGCGGTTCTTGATAGTCTCCGCGTATCTAAGAACACATAAAAGTACTTATCCTATCCATGTTCCGCGCTAAGAACATACAAAGCACGAAACTGTTTAAGAAGCCAGCGTGTCTGTTTCTATCGCTTGACCGGTGTGAACAGCAAGAAGGCGTAGCAGATAACCGTATCTAGTCTCTACCAGACTAACTACGCTGGCTAAATATAGGAGAATATTTGTCAGGGGAGTTTGGCCGCCTTGTAGGTTTGACTGGCCGCGTAGTCGGAGGGAAAGAAACTACCACCCCGCGGTCGGACTCCCTTGGCCAATTTTACTCTCTTTTTTCCCCGAATCCTACGATCCGGATTCCCGTAGAAAGGCCTGGTGGAGGCTAGTCTGCTTTACCTTTTGCCTTTAACATAAGTGAGTAGTGGGATTGTTAACCACTAGACCATGACAGGCCGCACTTAGAAAGCAGCGTGTCAGTGACACCTTTTGTTTAGCCTGCACCAGGCCTTTCTACGGGAATACGGATCGTGGCATTCGGCAAAAAAGAGAGTTAAATTGGCCAAGGGAGTCCGGCCGCGGGGAGGTAGTTTCTTTCCCTGCGCGGCCAGTCAAACTTACAAGGCGGCCAAACTCCCCTGACAAATATTCTCCAATATATAGCCAGCGTAGTTAGTCTGGTAGAGACTAACTTTTGTTTACAACGTCACCGGTGTGTTGGCTTTAAACACACACCGTAACTCTGTCCCAGAACTGTCAACTTGTGTGACGTCATGTGACGTTGCCTTGGCGACGGATTGGGGCGTGTCATGTTACTGGCTCTTTATGAATTGCCCTGATGAAGATGACAGACGGTCATCGAAACGTCGGATCGTGAAAAATAAATAGTTGTGATCAATGAACTTTGCTATTCATTCGTTCACCAACCTGATGAAATTATTTACGGAAACAAACATTTCCCACCCCCACAGGTGTTGTCCACCATGATCACTTCCGATGAGAAAACTCCCGAGCGGGAGTTTATGGACAACACCACCCTCCATGGCTTCAACAAGGTGAGCTTTCAATCTGTGAATCTGCCAACCAGAAAAGAAGGTCTCCCATGCTCTTATGCAGAGCGTAGGGTGGTGCCCATCTCCATTTCCGTAGCCCTTGGGCGACACACAGTTGTGCAATGCACTACAGCAGGGGGCTAGTCCGCTGGTAGTGCTGTGTGTTTGACCTGGTCGAGCCTCTGTTTCCTTTCTATATTTGGGAATCAGACCCTTGTGGCTACCTGGTGCAGAAGAATTTTTGAGATTGAAGTATGGATAAGTGCTTTCATGAAGACTTCTAATAGTGTATTTAAGCATGTGTTCCTATGGACAAATCTAATAGTACTGTCTGTCCCTCCTGCGCAGATCCACCACCCGAACCGCGCCATCCGGACCGTCTGGATAGTCGCCATGCTGGCGGCCTACGCAGGATTCATCTACATGGCCGTCAACATGTACTTTGTTTATTGTTTGTTTTGCACTCAAAATAAAATGAAATAAAACAATTTAGCCTCCATAGCATGCCAAAAACTTGTACCCCCCCCCCTCTTTCCCGAATGGTAGGGCCCAGACGTACTTCAGCTACGACACCGTCTGTGACGTCAAGCTGTCCTTCGAGAGCAAGATGACGTTTCCTGCCGTCACCATCTGCAACTACAACAGGTGAGCATCTACGTGTACGTAAGTCAGTAAGGGGTTAAAGGTGGTCGGAAGTCTGTGTCGCCCCCGTCACGTTTCCTGCCGTCACCATCAGAAAGTCTGTGGCGCCCGAGGCAAGAGAGATTAAAGAGGCCATCTACATCAGGGCATTACAACCATCCCTCAACAGAGACGGGGGGCACCACAGACTTTTTGCAAAATATGATCCACTGCTCATGGAGTCACGTGTTATCTGCGTGACGTCACGGAAGCGGTGGATTGCTCATTCGTTGACAAAGACTGGAGTTACTTGAACTTGCTTCATAAAGAGCAGTAGTTTGTTGGGCTAGAACATGTGAAGGTAAACATTATACATTTGCCTAAAATCTCCAGGATTGACTCGCACAAGCTGACGTGGGAGGAGTGGTCCATCCTGTCCACTCTCCTGTATGGCCGCGCGATGGACGTGCCCACTCTACAGGCTTTCCTGGGACCAACTTTTACTGACCGGAACAGGACAACTAACGGCACCGTCACCAACGCTACGGTACGTCATAACCCTGACCCCATGCATAGCCTCATACCTGTGTGTGTGTGTGTGTGTGTGTGTGTGTGTGTGTGTGTATGTGTGTGTGTGTGTGTGTGTGTGTGTGTGTGTGTGTGTGTGTGTGTGTGTGTGTGTGTGTGTGCGCGCGCGTGTGTGTGTGCGAGTGTGTGCGTACATGTATGTGTGGTGTGTGTGAGTGCAAGAGTGTTTGTGCGCACATGTGTGTGTTTTGTGACATCTAATGATACCTAACCCTTCCCCTCCATCCCCCGTGACAGACCATGGACATGGCTGCGGCCGTCCGTATGAAAGGGTTCGACATCTCGCCCGCCCGGATGTGCGAGTGTGTGTGCGCGCATGTGTGTGTGTGTGTGTGTGTGTGTGTGTGTGTGCGAGTGTGTGTGTGTGTGTGTGTGCGCGAGAGTGTGTGTGTGTGTTTTGTGACGTCTAACCTCTTCCCTTCCGTCCCCCCGTGACAGACCATGGACATGGCAGCGGCTGTCCGTATGAAGGGGTTCGACATCTCGCCCGCCCGGATGTACCTCTGCTCCTTCGCTGGAGACTCATGCACGGAACTGGTGAGTTGTAATAAATTAGGAGTGAGTGTGGGAGCCCCAGCATACAAATAGGATGGCACCCAGGCTATGTTTAAGTGATAGATTTTTTCGTGGGAAGAAGCCCTAATGTCCACTACAGTCTCTCTCTTGGCTTGGCTACAGTATCCGACTAGAGTATCCGACTTGGCTACAGTATCGGACTTGGCTACAGTATCCGACTAGAGTATCCGACTTGGCTACAGTATCCGACTTGGCTACAGTATCCGACTTGGCCACAGTATCCGCTACAGTATCCGATGCCCAAACCCAGTCTCCTGCCCCAAACCCTTTATCTTTGACGCAAAGAGATTATTAGAGCCAGGGTGCCAAATTGGGGTTGGCGGGGCGCATGGCTTCCCTGGCCAAAGGGTTCTCTCTCATTAGCGGTAGGGGCTGGCACCCAGGCTAGGCTATGTTTTGTAAGTGACACAAGCTCTTGGCATTTTTTTTACGAAGGCCCTAAAACAAATTTTGTTTTTCCACTACAGAACTACACCCACTCGTTCAGTAACTATGGCAACTGCTACATATTTCATGCTGTGTCTGTCACTATGGTAACTGCAGGTGTAGCAGACACACAGTGGTGTCGGGTTACATTATGTATGTAGCAAGGCTCTAAGAAAAAAGTTTGTTCTTGTTCTAACCCTTACAGAATTACACCCACTCGTTCAGTAACTATGGGAACTGCCACACATTTCACGCTGATGCCTGTCACCATGGTAACTGTAGCTGTAGCAGACACCCTTTGGTGCTGGGTTACATTATGTAGCAAATTTTGTTCTTCCGCTACAGAACTACACCCACTCGTTCAGTAACTACGGCAACTGCTACACGTTTAACGCTGACGCCGCCAACAAGCTGAACCAAACCATCCCCGGGTCCACCATGGGCTTCCAGATCGTCGTTAATGTCATGGCGGTAAGTATGGTAGCCAGAACCGTGAGAAAATGGTTTTAAAGTAGAAAGTCAACATCTTGTGATCAAAAGGTACAGTAACAAATTTCAGTGGGTATCTGTGAAGCTTTATCTAATGCATGATCCAGCCAGAATAACTGTAGAGTATAATGTTGTGTACAGGTCCTGTCCTTGGTGCTGAACTCACAGTCACAAATGTTACACATCCAGGGCTATTGTACCTAGAACTGTGTCTGTCTAGTTCTACGCTTGAATGAGTTAGGGTTAGGATCAGGCACGGTTCTCCACGTATCCAATAACGTAGAATTGCCCCAGGCACGATTCTAGATATGCTTGGGCTAACACTAGAAGTTGTCCGTTGACTGTAAAATCTTATAGTCATCCCATACTACATAATTAGTCTTTGTACGGTAGATTAGTCCCATAGTATGCTTGTAAAGTATCGATGGACCCTGTAGATGTAAAAGTTTTCTTGTTCTAATACTGAGTCTCTTGTGTGCAGGATTCCTACACGGAGACGATGGCAGTTGGAGGACACGAGGAGGTCGGTCTGAAGTTTCTCATCCACGATCAGAACGAACCACCCATGGTGGAAACCCACGGACTGGCGATCAAACCCGGCATACACAGCTTCGTCTCCGTCAAAAGGACTGAGGTGGGTCTCAGTGAAGTACGGTTAGTCTTTTTTGGCTACCTCTCAGGGAGGAGCCAATGGTACAGTATTGTGTGCAGTTTGCAAGAATTCTAGGAATGGTACAGGCATTTTGTCCACAGGAATGGACTGTCGACAGGCATTTCTCTGAACCACATCCATGCCCACATTCCTGGAAACCCTTGGGAAGACCTGTCTGCCCAGCTACTTTCTGTGACCCCGGGGCTTGTCCACTATACACACATGAGAGGAGTGCACTGCATCTGTCTGGACTTAACAAGTACAAAGTCTTCCTTATAATCATGGCGGTGCCATGCAAACAATAACCCTAACAGCAACCACCGTCGCCATGGCAATGTATGTTTTCATTGACAGTCTTGTTGATTTTTTCTTAATACCCCGGTACTACAACCATGTGCCCCCCTGGGGAGACTGTCATGACAAGGCTCTGACCTACTTTGTCCTACCACTTGCTACATAATCAGGGTGTCTGCTACTTATTAGAAAAAGAACACGTTGTAATAGCCTCCGTAGCACTGGCTTATAGAACTGGGGGTTTGGTGGTCTTCGGCTGTTTTCTGATTAGCCCAGTTCTAAAAAACGGGGGTAATTCAACCAGGCCGGCTATGTTGTCTATATGCAATCAGAAAATAGCACATAAAAGCTACCAAAGACCATGAAGACCCCCAATTTTTGGCATGTTATGGAGGCTAACGTTGTAACCCATTAATGATCTGATGTTTGCTATTTGTTCTTCAGTACTACAACCATGTGCCGCCTGGGGAGACTGCCATGACAAGGCTCTGACGTACTTTGTCCTACCACTTGCTACATAATCTATCCAACACCACAAAGTGCCTGCTAAAAGAAGAATTAATGTTTTGATGTTCCTAGAACTATCGCAGACTGTCACCAAGTACAGTAGGGGCATTGTCATTACATAGCTTTCAACAATGTCTAGAGTTAGATGTTCAAGGGTTAGGTGTAACAAGTCGATCGGTGACCCGCCAGCTGCTGCCGCGCCGCGTGCCTGCAAAGCTGGTGTGTTGCGCCGAAAGGCGGTTATACCGGCTATACAGATACAGAAGCTGGACGGGTGTGTTACGCCGAAGGGCGGTTATACCGGCTATACAGATACAGAAGCTGGACGGGTGTGTTACGCCGAAGGGCGGTTATACCGGCTATATAGATACAGAAGCTGGACGGGTGTGTTACGCCGAAGGGCGGTTATACCGGCTATACAGATACAGAAGCTGGACGGGTGTGTTACACCGAAAGGCGGTTATACCGGCTATACATGTACAGATACAGATGTGTGCTATTTGTTCTTCAGTACTACAACCACGTGCCCCCCTGGGGAGACTGCCACGACAAGGCTCTGACATACTTTGACGCCTACACCCTGCCTGGCTGCAACGCGGAGTGCCGGGGCAAACATGTGCAGGACAGGTGTGGCTGTAAGGCCTACTACCTGCCAGGTAACTCACCTGTTTACATTCTATTTCAACTGGTCCTAGCCCTAGTCCTTGCCGTAGCCCTACCCCTTGCCCTAGCCCTAACCCTAAGGCCTACTACCTGTCAGGTAACTCACCTGCATGTTTACCTTCCTAAAGTGACATAACACACCTGTTCACTTTCCTTAAGATCTACAGAACACACCTGTGCACTTTAAGATCTACTAAATGCAGTGCTGTTCACTGTTTTCATGTGTTGTACATATTGTAATTGTCGTGAATCTGTATGTTATGTTTGTACCCACATTGTATTTTTATATATACATGTATGTAAGGTCAGCACAATTCAGCAGTCCATAATTTTTTAATGTACTGCTGCTATGCTGACCACTGGTTGAATAAAGAACTCACATTTGCAATTTCTATTTCCTTGTTTTTCTCTGTCCCTACAGGATCAGCGCCCCCTTGCGCCGCTGACGTGCTCTTCACCTGTGTTCAGGAGGTTTTAGGTAATATATAATTATGTATAATGGTCAAGAGGAATATGTATAATTATTTATAATGGTCAAGAGGAATATGTATAATTATTTATAATGGTCAAGAGGAATATGTATAATTATTTATAATGGTCGAGAGGAATATGTATAATTATTTATAATGGTCAAGAGGAATATGTATAATTATGTATAATGGTCAAGAGGAATATGTATAATTATGTATAATGGTCAAGAGGAATATGTATAATTATGTATAATACTATACATAGTTATGTATAGTATGGTTAAAGGGATATGTATAATTATGTGTAATAGGGAAAGGGGTTATGTATAATTATGTATAATACTATACATAGTTATGTATAATAGTTAAAAGGGATATGTATAATTATGTATAATTGGGAAATGGCTTATGTAACTATAATTATGTATAATGGGGAAAGGGGTTATGTATATATTATATATATATAATGGAGAAGGAGGTTATATATAATTATGTATAATGGTAATTATATATAATTATGTATAATGGAAAATCACTATATCTAATTATAGATATAGTTTCTTGTATGTAGATTTGTCTAAAACTCATTCATAAAATTCATTTTTCAATCTAACAAAAAAGAAATGAAAGTTAAAACTCTAAACATGTAACTACCAAGTACCAACACAGATGAACTTTCATGAAACTTTATCTGTTTTGTGGTTACAGCTGAGGTGAATGAGGGGAAGCTGACTTGTGACTGCCCGCTGCCGTGTACCATGGTCAAATACAGCCCCACTCTGTCCTTCTCGGCATGGCCTAACCAGCTCACAGAGGACTACTACAGCCGAACGTACAACCTCAGCAGGGGATATCTCACGTAACTATCCATTCATTCATTCACTCGGCATGGCCGAAGTTTTCAACCTACAATAGTCTGCTGCATCATGATCATTAGTCTGGGTATTATGATCCATTGTGTAACAGAGATCCTTTCCACAAAACATCAGATGTGTATTTAAAAGTGTTAACTAAGTATGTTTAGAGTTAAAACTTTTGGTCCAACACAAAAAAGTTCTCTCGCCTAGAGCTTTCGACCAGTCACTCTGGTCTTCCTCAGTAGACTGACCCAGTGAGGCTTGTCACGTGGCTTCTTTAAAGTGTGATGTCAACACTGGGTGAAAGACTTTAAGGTACTAGGTATCTGGTAGACGATGTTGGTCCCCGTCGCGGTTCAATGAAGGGTGATGATAACTAAGTAGCAAAGGCTAGAAAAGTAGTCAAAACTGCTCTGCTCATTCGAGAACTCACAGCTTGTTTATGTTGTTTCCCAGGGACAATGTTGTGGCGCTGACGGTTTATTACGAGGACTTCAGCTACATGAAGATCTCACAGCTGAAGGCCATGGACTCTGGACAGCTGGGATGTGAGTAGAACTTCTGTCCTGGACATGATACAGTCTTGTTTAAAACGTGTGCGTGCGTAATCAAAATCAAAGTAATCCAGTGGTTAGCGACCCTGCCTCTGGACTAAGAGGTTGGGAGTTTGAATCCCGGCTGTTGTCGCTCACCCGACATGCACGCTACTGTTTAGGATCGCAGCCCCTAGGACGGGACGTTAAGCCGTGGTCCACTGTTCATTGTGCTTGTCGAAAAGAGCTAGGGGAATTTCCCTGGTACAATGAACCTGTAAATACTGTACATAGTGTCTGTCTTCTTTGTCACGACCAGTGGAAGAGTAGCTCTTCAGTGAGATAAACTGGTTCAAGATCACTTCCACTAAATTTGACTGTTTTCTGCAGGTAACATGGGAGGAATGATGGGGTTGTTTATCGGGGCCAGTGTGCTGACTCTGGTCGAGCTGACCGAGTACCTGGTGGCCAGGCTCTCCATCAGCTGGGGCAAGAAAAAACGCCCTCTTCACGTCCAACCTGCACCGGATGCTGAGATGAGTGACAAGAAGCAGCCACCGGATTCTTTGGTTTTTCACAAGTAGTGTCTGGTCTGGTCTAAGAACAGGGCAAAGGTCACTATTTGGCGCCCGCCCAGAAGACCCAGTCTGAGACCCCTTTAATGAGTATAGCCAAACCAACTGAAAACAGCCTTTTTCTTGGTATGTGCGGATAAATGTTGGCATTTTCCAGCTCGAGAGTTATTTCTTTTTGTATTCTGTTGAAAAACTGGCTCATAGAGTTGTTTTGGCTGCCTGGTAGAGCTCTAAAAGCAATGCCATTGTTTTATTTTTTGGTGGTGTACAGGGGGGTCAGATGTGAAATTTTTGGACTAAATGAACAATTTAGAAGTTGGACTACCCTGTCAATATGAGTTTGCAACAGTTGAACATTCAACTGAAGATGTTTGAAGTTCAAACTTTTGATCCAACAAAAAGAAGTTCTCTCACCTAAAGCTTTCGACCAGTCACTCTGGTCTTCCTCAGTAGACTGACCCAGTGAGGCTTGTCAACTGAAGATCATCTTTGAAAATAGGTGCAGCTAACCTAAAAATCTAAATCAGTTTGTCTGTGATTGTTTTTGATGTGATTGAGACATTGTACTTTGTTGTTACTTAATGAATGATGCTGCTGTCTAAAGTAAAGGACTTCTCTTCTGAAACTCAAACAGTAACTTTAATTCTAAACACTGATACGTAACAGATCTTAACAGTAACATCGAAAGTTTATGAATGTGCCAAATAGCATCGAATTCTACACAATGCTAAGCAAATTGAAATTGATGATATAGTCTTTAAAACAAACAACTTTGATTATAATTTTGATGTTAAACATACTTTCTGCAACTCTTTTCACATGGTGTGCCATTGAATGAATAAACCATGTACTTGCATAATCGTCTTTATTCTCTTGTGTAGTTCTAAAATAATGTAGTTCTACATGGGATACTAGTAATAGACCAAGGATCCTTGAATAAACGAAAATACGGTCAAGTTGACAAAATTTGAAAATCGCTGAGATATAAATTCCTCTACTTCTCTACAAGCACAACTTAGGCCACACTGACTTAATTTTATGTTGGACGTGATCTTTTTTTTTTTAGAACAGGCGAAAATCAATGCGCGCGTAGATATCATCCATAAAACTAAGTCGGTGTGGCCTTAACTGAAATTTAAGGTTGTGGCTTATTCAAAGTTAAGAGCCGCCTCCAAAAACTGGTTCAACTTTACCTCAGCGGAGTCCCAGAAGTTGCGGGGAAGACGCAGCCTGGAGATGAAAAACTCCTCGTCGGTGATAAGGAGGATGCTGGCAGGTCTGAGAAACCTCAGGTCTTCCAAGACGTCTTGTGTTTTACCTGGAGTTACACTGCCAGAACTTGCGAGGGAAACCTGGGAAGACAAATGGATTTTAAAGTTAAAAGTTTTGATCCAACACAAAGAAGTTCTCTTCACCTAGAGCTTTCGACCAGTCACTCTGGTCTTCCTTAGTAGACTGAAAACGTGAGGCTTGTCACATGGCTTCTTTGGATTTTGGACACTGAACAAGACTATTTCCTGAAAGGGGTGAAGGAAGCCATATACATCAGGGCCCATCACCCTTCATTGAACCGCAACGGGGGCCGACATCGTCTACCAGATACCTTAGACCCAGTGTTGACGTCACACCACGAGTTTGAACTTTAAACATGTAACTACCAACACAGATAAACTTACATGATAACCTCAAATAAATTTGGTGTGGCATTACATGAAATTCTCCAAATCTTGCCATCTATCTAAAGCACCTAAATGACGAACACTTACATTTGCTTGCTGCTGTTGTGACTGTGAGAGCGGCTGTTGTTCCTCCATCATCTCAACATCTTCTACGTATATGTAGGTGTTCCTGATGGATGACAGGTGTGTTGGTGCAGGTGAGGTGGTCTCTCCTGCAGATGTTACACCTGTGATTACTGTTCCCTGGGTGGGCTGCAGGTGTGCAGGTTGGATAGTTGCAGGTGCCACACCTGAGAATTCTACCAGTGGAGTGCCCTTGTAACACACCTGAAGGCAATACAGATATACTTTAGAATTAACAGTTATTCAAACAACTGGATATGATTTTGGAAATGGTCAAACGTTTCAGGTAGCAGCCACTATCAGGGCTTGAAATACTGGGTGCATGTGCACCTTAGTGCACCTACATTTGGAGCTGTGCACCCAACTCTTTTTCTGTGGGTACACCAGTGCACCCAAAAATAGTATGTAAAGATGTTATAAATATATAGTAGTATACAGCATATTCCTAACATCCAAGTGTCAAAAAAATAATAAAATCATTGCTATAGAACTTTTCTTTAGAAATGAAACATAATTAGTTATTGCTGACATTTATGGTACACCCAAGAAATTTTTTTTGCACTCAAATTTTAGGTTGGGTGCTCCAGTACACCTACTCCCAAAAATGAATTTCGAGCTCTGACTAAACGGTCAGATGTTTTGGTACCATCCACTACCTTTTGCCAGTGACTGTTGGCATGCATTTCCCTCACCTGTCGGTACACCATGGTCCGTTTCTGAGCCGACCTATGACCCCACACAGCCCGGTGCCACTGGGTCACGGAGGAGAAGGTCAGGCCGCCCTGGGTCTGCACAGCGCCCTCTGGTGACAGACTGGCAAACTGCAGCCCAGCCTGCATGCACAGAGTTGGATGTACAGGTTGTTGTAGTTGTAGTAGTAGTAGTAGACTGGTTTATTAGGCCTTTTAGATGTGACATAAATGCCTCCTGGCAGCCATAACGGCCTGAATTGTGAGTGCACCATGACAAACAAAACCTAATTATCGATCTTACTGCCCCTCTTGTTAGCTTGAATCTTAAATGGGAGCTTCGAAATCTTACACAAGAACTACAACAAAGATTTTATTATTTTTCTGATGCTTAGATGTCAAGAATATCCTGCATACTATTATACACTTATATTATACTAATATGTACAAATTAAAATACCTACAAAAATATTTGTGTGCATTGGTTCATGCACAGAAAAAGATTGGGTGCACAGCTGCAATTTTGGGTGCACTAAGGTGCACATGCACCCTGTATTTCCAGCCCTGATATGCCAACAATAGGAAGACTCACTTTTCCCCTACAGGACAGCACATCTCTGCCAGGATGGACCAGCTTAGTCATGAGCAGTTCTGACACTGTGGGAAGCTCTGAGCCTTGGGTCTGGGGCAGTCCTTCCACCACACCAGTAGTGGATAGTCCCTGAGTTGGCTGTCCTCCTCCTCCTGCCACACCAGTAGTGGATAGTCCCTGTAGCTGTCCTCCTCCTCCAACAGTAGTGGACAGTCCCTGGAGTTGTCCTCCTGCCATAGCAGTAGTGGACAGTCCCTGAGTGTACTGTCCTCCCACCATAACACTTGTGGACAGTCCCTGAGTAAACTGCCCACCAGTAGCGGATAGTCCCTGTAGCCGTCCTCCTGCCCTACCACTAGTGGACAGTCCCTGTAGCTGTCCTACTGCCACACCAGTAGTGGACAGTCCCTTACTTCCAACCAGGCAGTCCTTCAATGCTGCAGAGACCACAGTTTTTGCAGAGGTAACCAGCTGCTGTTTCGGTACAATCTTCTGCCACAAAACCTCAGCTCTGCTTTGTACAGAAACTTCAGAAGTTTTTCCTTTGAGATTTTTCAGCTTTTCTTCCTGAGTTTTTCTTGCATTTGTCTCCGTCACTTCTGAGATGTCTTGAGTCTTCTCCTCAGACAGAATAGCTCCTGAAGAAGCAGCATTGGAGGGTCTGAATGGGGGTTTCCAAGCCCGAGCCTTTAGAAGTGCCTGAGAGCTATCAGTTGTAGCATTTGCTTGCTGAGCTAGTTTGCTACTTGTAGGTGACAAAGTTGTAGCAGCAACATTAGACACTATTGTAGCGGTACTCTTTGCTACATTTTCACTGTGATGTTGGATGTTTAGAGCAGCATTGTTGGTAGCAGCTGGTGCAAGTTTGCTACTTGCAGGTGACAAACTTGTAGCAGGAGTGTGTCCTACATTAGACACCGCTGTAGTAGTGCTCTTTGCTACATTCTCAACACCATGTTGGATATTTGGAGCAGCTTGGTTGTTGGCAGAAGCTGGTGTGTCCAAACTCTCCATCCCGACTACCCTGTACCGCACCGATTCCTGTCCATCCTTGGAGACAACGTCAACAATTTGTCCCATCTGCAGAGACCCAGTTTTCATGACAGCTCTGAGCATCGAACTGCCATCCAGCGTCTGAAGGACTGCAGTTGTGCTTGCCTCTCTCAAAGGTGCTTCTGCAGTTCTGTTGGAAGTTGACAGAGGGGGCTTTTGAGCTGCAGGATGACGCAATGATGCAGTTGTGCTTGCCTCACTCACCTTTGAGCTCAAAGGTGCTTCTGCAGTTCTAGTGGATGTTGACAGAGGGGGCTTTTGAGCTGCAGGACGACGCAATGGTGGTGTTTCTATTTCACTTGGTTCAGCTCGTTGAAATTTGACACCTGAACTATCAGATGACCATGATTTTGTGCTTGAAGTTGAGGCAGCACTTTTCTTGCCTTTTTTACCGCCAATATACTTTCTTCCAATCGGCATCTCCATTTCATTTCTGTCTGATGATGTTTGTGTCGCAGGCTCTGATTGGTCGGCTATGTTCCCTCTACTACTGTTGCCTGTGACCTTGGACTGTGTTGTGGTGACCTTCATTTGACCCTTGAACTTTGCTGTGGCAGTTTTCTGGACGCTGAAGATCTGCACTAGACGCTTGTGGCGCTGGACAAAAAGCTGCATCTGTTGCTGCATCTGAAAATCACAAGAATCAGAAAAAAATCAGCCTGAATAAATGAATAAATTATTGTCATGTTAAAAAAAAAGTAATGTATGGTTCTGGATAGTCTCTATGAATCCAAGAACATAGATTAACCCCAGATGGTTCTGGATACGCATGTACTATCCAGAACCATTCCTGAGCACAGTTCACAGTTTATGTGGGTTTGTGTGGCGCAACGGCAGCGTGCGCGACTCAGAATCAAGAGGTCCCGGGTTCGAGTCCTGACATGCCACTGATCTTGTGCCCTTGGGAAAGGCACTTTACACGACTTTCCCCACCAGACTCAACTGAAAATGAGTATTGTCTGTCCAGTATCCATTTCTGTGTGCGACACCAGCAACAGCTGCCTCTGTTCCGCATGTATTGCATTGTTGCAATTTCAATAAATTAAATCATACAGTACCTGTTCGGAGTCCCTGAGTGCACTGATAGCCTTTCGCTGCCTCTGGTGTGCCTGGATCAGAGTCCCGATCAGTGTCTGGATACAGGACAGCTCACGACGCACTTTCTGTCCTGGAAAAGGAAGACTTTTTGGTCGGTCATTGGCCACACCAAGAACATAGATTAACCCCAGATGGTTCTGGATATGCATAGACTATCCAGAACCATCCAGAACCATTCCAGAGCACAGTCGCGATCAGGGTCTGGATACAGAACAACTTCAAAATCTTAAACAAGTACTACAATAAAAATTTTATGATTTTTGTGGCACTTTCTAGGGTGGAAAAAGGAAGAATTTTTGGTCGGTCATTTAATATCATCATCTAACCAGTCCCATTAGTACATAGCATCATTGCTACCTGAAAAAGAGGGTTGAAGTTGTTTTTTTGTCCATTTATTATTCAAGTTATTCTGCTGCATTCGGCACTTGGTACATGCTTCTACTTTTGAGCCAAGTGGCGATGTGTATATATACACACAACGCAGATGAAACTACAAAATTTAAAATGCAATTTATCTGCGCTGTGTAGTTCATGTATGTTATTAATGTTAATGTTGGTGCAATTCGTGTTTGAATATCAATGAACATGTCAATGCCAATAACAATTAAGCTGAATCTGAAAAATCTTACCTGCAGCCCTGTCTGTGGTGCTGAGAAGTGGGTTCAGTTTCTCCTGTCTCCCCTTCAACTTCCCCAGAAGCTGCATCTCCTCCTCATGCTGGGAAATGTCTTGGGTTCTCCTGGCTTCCTTACACTTCTCGACATTTCCATCTGAGAAGTCTGTTGTTCTCGTCATACCTTCCTTGCCCATCTCAACACTTTCTTCTGAGATGTCTGGACTTCTGGTACCTTCCTTGCTCTTCTCAATACTTTCTTTTGAGATATCTGGAATTTTCGTGGCTTCCTTATCCTTCTCAACATTTTCTTCTAAGACATCTGGAATTCTTGAGACTTTGTTGACCTTCATAACACTTCCTTCTGAGACTTTTTGAATTGACTCAACTTTCTTCCCCTCCTCAACACAAGTCTTGCTTCTCTTTCTTCCATTTTCTTCGGTTATTCTTTCCTTCTCCAAGTCTCTTTCTCCATGCATCTTTGCTTCCTCTGACAGTCTGGTCTCCTCAATACCCTCTGTTGCAGCAGCGCTCCTATCTGCTGAGTCATGAACTGCAGCTGTTTTTCCCCGTGAGCATTTGCTGCTCTGGTCTCCATGGCAACCTTCCATCCCTTCTCCGCCATCTTGTTCTTTGCCAGCAAGGTCACAGGTGGCGTCTCCAAGGTCATGTTCAAGTTGGTTTTCTACGTTGTCAGACAGATTTGTTACATCTGAGTCATTGTCAACATTTGCCACAGTTTCCACTTTTGTTACTGTGTCACTCTCAACATTTGATACAGTTTCTTTCTCAACATTTGCAACAGTTTCTTCTTTTGTTACATCTGTGTCACTCTCAACATTTGCCACATTGTCAGGTTCTTCTTTTGTTACGTCCTCGTCACTGTCAACATCTGCCACAGGTTCTCCTTCTGTTCTTGTCTCACCTGCAAGTTTCCTGATCTTGGCAGGTGGAGGGAACACAGGTGAGTTCTCACCTGGTTGCTTCAGGTGACCCAGGTGTGGAGGACAGACACCTGGCGGCTTCTTCAGGTGTTGCAGGTGTCGTGGGAAGACAGGTGAATCTGCAGGATTCAGGTGACCCAGGTGTGGTGACATCTGCAGACTGACATGCAGCAGTTGTAAGTAATAGAAATGAAAGAAATATCCTCTATATTTGTATACAGGATAAGCTTCCCAGTTTTTGGTAGATAGAACAGTAAAATTATTAGTATTCCTTGTAGAATGAGACAAACTATGAATTATACATTCCATATGTTCATACATCTAGAACAACAACAGTACAAAAGAGACTATCTAGAACCGTGCCTAATAATACACCCCTAACCCATTCAGGCATAGAACTACATTGTAGACAGGCACGGTTCTGGATACAACAGAGACTATCCAGAACCGTGCCTGATCCTAACCCTAACCTATTCAGGCAAAGAACTAGATAGGCATAAAGCATGGTTCTGGATAAAGCAGACCTTACCTCTGTGGCAGGAGAAGCTGTGATTGTTGTGAGTCGTCCTCCTCAGAACTGCTGAACATCGGTTCCTCTCGGCTGTTCTCCATGCCTTTTACAGGCTCAGTCTGTCCTGCAGAAGTCTGGCTGGGAAACTCTCTCCTGCAGCACAAATTGGACAGAGCAGGAAAATCATTGTAACAGTCTCGTGGTTAGTTTAGTTAAAAACTTAGAAGAACTGTCATGAAAGTTCATCTGTGTTGGTAGTTACATGTTTAGAGTTAAAACTTTTGGTCCAACACAAAAAAGTTCTCTCACCTAGAGCTTTCCATATACATCAGGGCCCATACATCAGGGCCCATCACCCTTCATTGAACAGTGACGGGGGCCAACATCATCTACCACATACCTTTGACCCAGTGTTGACGTCACACCTCAAAGAAGCCACGTGACAAGCCTCACTGGGTCAGTCTACTGCGGAAGACCAGAGTGACTGGTCGAAAGCTCTAGGTGAGAGAACTTTTTGTGTTGGACCAGAAGTTTTAACTCTAAACAACTTATTAAGAACTGGTGTGGTCACATGTCACATGACATAGTCATCAGGACTAGCCAAAACAGCACGTCGGCAGAATGTAAGTTGCTCAGAACGTAACCCCCCCTCCCCCATTCAAAATCCTGGCTTCGGGCATGGGAACTCACCCCAAGAAGTGATGTCTGTTTGTCCTGAGTGGTGATGTTGTTGCATCAGAGTCCACCGAATCTTCCACAACCTGCTCCTCTGTGCAATCACTAACATTACTGCTGGCCATCTGTGACATGCAGAATCTAGAATCATGCTCAGGTACGGTTCTGGACACTCTGTAACAGTGGGGGGTTTATAGGCACTACCAACTGACTCGGCCGATAGGTCTAGACCTTTAAGCGATGTGGTTAGAGCATCAGAGTCTGAAGCTAGTGCTCGGGAGGCCGTGGGTTTGAACCCCAGCCTGGGACCTGAGGGTTTTATCTGTTTCTACTGCTCGCCCCTGTTTCTTACAGTGGTTCCCACACCGGGAATCGAAATCCGGGGCCTTCGATTGTGGTGAGAGCGCCAAATCCTATAACTTTATCTGTTTCTACTAACTCCTCCTGTTTCTTACACATGCAGAATCTAGAATCATGCTTAGGTACTCTGGGTACTCCATGCGTATCCAGAACCGTGCCAGGAGAAAATCTGTATAGTAGACCAGCTACCACCCTATTCATTAAGGCAATCAACAAAGCTAATACCAATACCAAGCATCAGTAGCTGGTTTATTTTGAAAACACAGCGAAACATCACAATTGATATCTACTTGATACCACCATGGAGGTAGAAATACCACCATGATACCACATAATGCTTTGGTAAGTTTTTTGGTAGGTTTTGAAATACCCCTTGTTCTACAATGTCCAATTCCTTGCCACTACTGAATCTGTATACACACTCACTCACTCACTAATATTTGTGAGACTTTCCAAGGGTTAGACGTGCCTGGTCAGTGTGTTGATTTATAATATGCTAGTACTATATGTTGTGTCACTACGTTTTAGATATGAGAAAACTATCCATATACCAGAACCGTGTCTGATCGTTGTTCTTCAGGCAAAGCAAGGTCGCCCCCCTCCCCCTTTCTGTACTTCAACAAAGTCAGCTAGCAGGCTAAAACTTAATGTACACGTCACTGCTTTATTTTTCTAAAGATCTCAGTAGATGGTGAACAGCACGAAGATATTTATGTGTCAGACATCACGAAAATAAGGAATAAACCAGCAACAACTGCAAAAGTTTGACGTTAAAAATACCTTCTGAACTTCAGCACAACTTTTTGCAGACGACATGGCACTGCCGCTAGAAGGGTCTGCATGGGGGATAGGGAGTTCCAGCTAACGCTAGATCCTCGGGCTTTTTAATACATTACGGTGCATGTAGACTTGTATCTAACGTAACTTATCTTAATAACTTAAATTAACCAACAGTTGCTGTCAAAATGCCGTCAGATAAGCGTGTAAAATGTAATCACTATGAAATAGGACCCTTTTTGAGCCTCTGACCAACCGCGAACTATAGAGTATCGGGCTTCACATTTTCCCGCCTCGCGATGGAAGGGTCTGCATGGGGGATAGTGAGTTCCAGATAACGCTAAATTCTTGGGATTTTAAATGTGTTACGGTAAACGTAGACATGTCTCATAATGACATAACGTAATTTACCTTGAAAACTTAAATCAACCAACAGTTACTGTCAAAATACAGTCACATAAGCGTGTAAAATGTACTCACTATGAAATAGGACACCCTTTTCAAGCCTCTAACAAACCGCAACCTGTAGGGTATTGGGTTTCATATTTCCCCACCATTTTGTGCCTGCACCAGTCATTCATTCATGACTAGTCCATGCACTGGGTTTATATAGATGTAGCGTTAACGTTATACATGTAACGTTAGTGCAGGTATGCAGAAAAATGTATTTCAAGCCCAAAATCCCTTAAACAGTCTTGCTTTGTTCATATAAGAGAATCATATCAAGAAAAGAACAAACACACACAAGTCATGATTAGTCTCTTTATTTAATAAGGTTTAAAAAGAGACATAATTCAGTACTTGAGAAAGTATCGCTATGTTTGTTAACATAAATATAAGTCTGTGTAAAAAGTACAATATTACCATTTTCAAGACACCCTTGCAAATATATATAATATATATATTCTGAATAATAACTTACACCTGAACCTGTTATACATATAAGACATAATATCCCCCTTATACCTGGGAAATACTAAATTATATTGCATTTAAGAGTTTAAGTCGTCATTATAGTCAAAATAAGACAAGTATTACCGTAAGATTGTTTGGTTGAGACAGCTCGATATGTATAGCAAACATACTACTGTAGAACAGCTAATTTCAGTACAGTATCAACTCTGTTATTGTAAATAATGTTAGGTCCCTTAGTAGTATAAGAGACTGGAAATATTGTCACAGTTACGGTAAGGTTTTGTACATGGAGTTTTGAATTTTCTGAGGCCACACCAAATTACTTTGTTGGTTCTTGTACTTCAAGTTTTCCTCTTTTCCCAAATGCTCTGTTTTTATCTTTCGTAATTTTTACTTTGAAATGTCCAAGGACCTAGAAAATAAGTCAGTATGGCCTCAGTCACAATTGAATGGAGTATTTAGTACAAGTGGTTGAATCCATTGCTACTGTAATTTGGTAGGAAAACCTGTCCACTAAATGTATTGTTGATACACTTATACGTAACCTAAACATTACAACTATTGATATACCTTCACCACGACTTAACTTTTTACTAAATTGTGTACAAAATTCTATAATCTCCATGGTGATAAGTCAGCTCCAAATGTCGCAGGCAACAACTGTCAATAATCAATCGATCAATCAATTATAATTCTGTCAAACAAAATCTCCAAGCAGATACATGGTTTGGTCTCATTTTTCTACATCCTTTTTTGTACTCGTCTTGCGTCTCTTTTAAAGGGAACAATTCGTAACTGTAAAACCATTGAAAAAAACGTACAAAATGGGAGAAAAGATGAAAAAATGCACCAACTCTTGCTTGGAGACTTTTTGACTGAACAAACTGAGTACATATCTCTGCATCGTGAGGTATTAGAAGGGTTGAATAAAGGGGAACCTGACAAAATCTTTTTTTGTTTGTTTCTACCCCAAAATTTAATAATTTTGCTCAGAAAAGTCTGCTATGATTCTGCTATCATTCAATCTTACTCTTGGACTGCCACTAACATTTCAACACTCTTAAAAATGCACAAATCGCATTTCTGTAGCTCCTATTTGGGGTAAAAACATGCAAAATTATATTTTGTCAGGCCTCCTTTTTCAAGGCAAGTTAAGACCACAAGGGTTTGTACATACATCAGAAACAAAACAACCCAACAGTAGGTGGGTCATTTAATATTCATAACTTGTTCATGGGCTTAAGTGCCTGTTTTTTCCAAAACTAAATGTCATAATAATAATAATGATAATAAAAAATGTATCCTGAACAGAAATTTACAAATAGTATCAACATAAAAGATGTCATCAAATTGCAGGGAATTCAAGCAGCAAAAAAATTTGCTTGCTTTTTTTTTTAAAAACACGAACTATAATCTAAAATGGCATTGCATAGAATAACAGAAGAAGAATTGCAGTCAAAACTATGTAAAAAAAACTGGCAAAGTGAATGACGGAAACATGGTGGCAAGAGGTCATGTTACATGGCAGAATCTCAATTTTATGCCTTTTTTTTTTGCTTTGATTCCTTTTTAAAATGTACTGCAAGAGAACTATGGAGTCATGGCAAGTTCCATCAAAGTGCTTTTCAAAGTACAAATGTACCTTCATTGTAATGACTGATACGGTGGCAAGTACCTCAGGAATATTAATTAAGGAAATGACCAAAAGCTCTTTTCTCCAAATGATCAATCGACTTGAGAAAATCAGATGATGAGAGGAAAATGAGAGGAAAATTATTTCATCCATGATCCTGTCTTTCAAAGCCATCCTGAAGGCAGTTTAAGATGAAATCTCTCAAGTAAGCTATCATAATGGAAGTCTGGCGAAGGATTATTATTATTTGTTGTTTTTTTTTGTTGAATTTTCAGTTTAAGTAAAAACGTTGCCTGTTCGCTGCTGCTTAAGTCTGTATCCGTTTTGTGTGGTTTTCCGGCAGCAGACCTTTTGAACTGTCCGACTCCTTCACTCCCATCAACCAACCCTCGTCCTGGAACGGAAGAAAAAACAAGTTAGGAAACTAGAGAAGTAACATTTGCAAAGCAAATGCATAATGTTTACCTTCGGACATGGTCTACTCTGTTAATTCTTACTCAAACACATTCACATACATGTACTACTAGTATATGGTGACAGGAGCAGAGCAGACCATGAAATTGCAACATTATGTAACCAAAAACTAGTAACCATGGTGACAGACGTCAACAAATCATGTCATTGGTCACTGTTTGGAGAAGAAGAAGAGGAAGAAACTGAGCAAAAACTATATCTTTTCCTTTGGTAAACATAATGAGGAATTGGACTTCATAAGGAAGGTCCTTCAAAACATCAACCCACAGGATAGAGCAAAATGGCAGGCTGCCATCAAGCCTCAGTACCAGTCAGGGCTCGAAATTAATGGTGTCCCGATGACCACTGACCACTAAAATTTTTGCCTGGACAACTATTAAGACAGTTTGGGACATTTTAGGGACAATAGAAAAATATTAGTCCATTGAGGAGCTGCAGACCACAACATACACACACAAAACTTGTACGAGTGACCACCACATCTAATACCCCCACCCCAACCGTGCTGGAGCCCTCAACCAATTGAGGTTTGCACAGAATGGGAAGAAAAAGAAGATAATAACATCAGTATATAGATACTTACAGCATCGTCTGGATCCTCAAAAGGAATGATGTGGATGGTTTCTCCTGTCTGGAACGACAACTCGTCTGAGTCACAGCGGGTGTAGCTGTGAGTCGTGATCACCTGAAACAACAAATCAATCAATCTGTCAATCCATGAAAGATACACATCCAGGTAAGGAGATACACAAGAATAATCTCCAAGCAGATCCCTCTCGGTGGCAAAAAGACAGTATCAAATTGGCCAGGCAGTATCCATTAGCCAGAGAAGGTCCGCGGCCACCGATGGTGGGGGTTAAGTGACAAAAAAAGGCCATATATAAAAAGGTAACGATCATTCCCCCACAACCTCTGCTTGGAGATTACACAAGAAAACATACTCAATTGCAAGCAGCTGGATAGATTTTGAAAACTGTCACTGAAAAACTTAATACATGATGACCTGAAACAACAATAATTGCACAAACATTTAGTAAAACTATGTCGATGAAGGTTTAAGACATCCAGGTATTACAAGATTCCAAAGTTATTATAAGCTTCTTTAAAAAGCTTAGGCCACACCAATTTAATTTGCCGTTTCTCAGATTTGCCCTGTCCATTTTTTTCTGATTTTCAGAAAAAAAAAGACTTTAGGTTCTGAAAAAATCTGACAAACAAGCAATTACATTGGTGTGGCCTAAAGACAAGAGAAAGACCTATGGAGTACAAAGTGTCATCTGGAACATTAAATGCACATTCAGCAAAACTACATCAATGAAGGTTAGACATCCAGGTAATAAGATGTACTTACGGAGTACAAGGTGTCATCTGGCATTGCAGGTTTGTTGTTTTCCGTGGGGCTGGGAGTTCTGTCTGGTGCTTCCTCAGCGGCCGGTGTGACGTCAGCGTTCGGCGTGACGTTTGCGTTTAGTTCCACCTTCCCCGGGTCGACGGTCGCTTCTACTTCTGCCTCAGGAACATCCTAACAACAGACAGAAAAATCTCAGCATGGAAGCCAGCATGGACCATGACTTTCATGCCTGTTGACAGGACGTGTTGGTTTATGTCAAACTTTTAAAACAGGAAATCCTAACAGGGGACAGAAAAATCTCAGCTTGGAGGATAAAATGCACAATCTCTACAAGCTGTCACTATCTAAAAAAATATCAAATAAAAAAAAAAATTACTAAATTCATCAACCATTTTCTTATCATTAAAAACACAGGTATAGCCTTCTCCCTGCTGCCTAACCCATAACCAATACAAATCTGGTGCCAAACAACTTGTAACATGAACAAGATTCAAAGTTAAAATATACTCCCTAGGACACAATGATAAAAAAACTTAATCGCACAACAATTGTATGAGGTACAACACGTTGCATCTACTAGTATATACTAAGAGACTATCTAACAAGACAATCTGTACAGTATGGGATGAAAATGCACTTTAAATTTTACAATCAATGGTGGGATTTCTAGTGCCTAGATATCTTTAGAAATCTAATACATGTACTACATGAACAATTGCATTTTTATTGGATTGTGCAAATCCCAATATTTGGGAAGTTAACAAAATGGGTTCGGGGAGAACTGTCACCATCACCAGCCACCTCTACACGAACCACCAGTCTTTTAGTCTTTTTTTTTCTGTACATCTTAAGTTTCAGGCTCCCAAAATGAATTTCAAGAAGGTTTAAATCTACTGCCCATGAACACACAAAGAGTACAACGAACATTGCCACCACCGGCCACTTCTTTATATTCTTTAACCACCTCCACCTTGAAGCCTTGCCGCCACCGGAAAACTTCCACAACGGAAAACCGGACTTACGATCCCCGCCGCCATCTTGCGTGCTTTGTTAACCGTCGCGTACGGCGGCTCCTCCGGTATTTCCGCCGACAGCGATGGCCCCTTGGCCGAGAGTTTGGCGTCCGGAACGCTCGCCTTGACTTCCGGTTCTCCGACTTGTACCGAAGACCACCCGGGGATGTTCGCGCTGATTTCCTCAAGAAGCGAGGGTTCTTCGGCGGTCGGCGCCTTCATGTCGGGGCCATTTAAGGACACGTTTGGCCCGTTGATGGAAGCACTCGGAGCGTCGGCTTTCAGACTCACGTCGGGGAGTTTCGCTTCAGGACCCTTAACAGAGAGGTCTGGGCCTTTTGGTAGGGAAATATCCGGACCTTTAACATTTGGTAGGGAAATATCCGGACCCTTAACTTTTGGGAGAGAAATGTCTGGACCTTTTGGAAGGGAAATATCTGGACTTTTTGGGAGAGAAATGTCTGGACCCTTAATATTAGGGCCCTTGATATCAGGCGGATTGAAGGAAACATCTGGGGCCTTGATATTAGGGCCCTTGATATCAGGCGATTTGAGGGAAAGGTCTGGGGCCTTGATATCGGGCGATTTTAGGGAAAGGTCTGGGGCCTTGACATTGGGGGCCTTGATATCAGGCATTTTCGTGGAGAGATCTGGGGCCTTGAAACTGGGGCCCTTCACATCAGGCGAACCGAGGGAAACATCGGGGGCCTTGACGCCAGGCAGATTCACATCCACCTCGGGGGCCTTGACATCGGGACCTTTCAAGCCCCCCTTGATTTGCGGACCCTCAAGACTCGGACCAGACAAGTCAGGCATCTTCGCCGAGAGACTTGGCCCTTTAAGTCCTGGCATCTTGACATCCGGGCCTTTAAGATCCACATCCGGACCCTTAAGATTCGGCATCTTAAGATCTGGGCCGGAAACGTTTGGACCTTTAAGGGACAAGTCAGGTTTACTTAAGGAAGGAGCGTTTACCGAAAAATCTGGGGCATTAATGTCGACATCGGGGCCGTTAATGGAGCCACTGGGCAGTTTGGGTTTTTCGATTCCTACAGAGGGGGTGTTAACTTCCACGGCTGGTGATTTAACAGAGGGGGCTTTAACGGAGGGGGGGTTAAACGAGGGGGCGGAGAAAGAGGGGGTGGTGAGGGAGGGGCCTTTGACGGACATGCCGGGTACCTTGGCGGATGGCCCTTCGATTTCGCCGCTCGGAAGTTTCGGTTTCGCGATGTTGACGTCTACCTCGCCGTTCTTTAGCTGAAAAGAAGAAAACAAAGCTGAATGAGATCATTGTTTCGTTTCATACTCATACGTGGTAAACTGCCTTTAGGCCTAGCGCACGATTTCATACAGTTAAGTACAAACTGCGTATGACTGGGCTGTAAGGTTGGGACCACTCACACCATGAAGGAACCCTTTGTCCAAGGACAGTCACATCTCAAGCACAAAGTTGTGGATCTCCTCAAACACGGGACCTCCGGCTAT